CCTTTCTGCAGTCTCTAACTGATAGCGTTATAAACACAATATGTGCAGTAATGGACCCACAGGTATCCTGAGCTAATACTGCCATTCATAACAAGGTGGTATTGGAACAAATAAAGGGCTTGAAAATGTTAGGCCCACCATGTTTAAATTCACGCAGAGCTATTATCTTGGATTAGACAGACTTGAAAATGTTAGTTGTGTTTTTTTTTAATGTCTTGGAATACATAATGAGCTGTGATGAACTGAAAGGTTATGTCAGCTAAAATATTTCTATTACTTTGACATAAATGTACCCCTAAAGTACCCCTAAAGGTGTCATTTATAACATTAAATATTCTATGTAAATAAATAAAGTAAATTGTGGAATATATTTATTTATTACTTATTATGTCCAAGAAGGGAATAAAAATTGCCTAGGAGCATCTATACACCTTTACCCTCATAATATTTATGAATATGCATGATTATGCAAATTTAAAATGCCCCCATGCCCTCCCACTATACCAACCCCACCCTTCCCCCAACTAACCTGGATTCATTATGGAAGTACCTTTGGCTTTTGCACAATTATAAAATGATGAGAAATACAGCCTTTAAAGCCAAAATCTGGGACCTGTTGGTGTATCAGAATAGTGAGTTTAGTTAGCTACATTCCAAAATCTGCATTCCAAAAGCTGAGTCTTGGTCCAAGTGGGCTGCATTTCTAGACCACTATCATTCAAGGCTGTCCCAATCAGAAAAATCCTGTGAAAACAGCCAAAAAATGCAGCCTACATTCTGATGATTTTTTGAGAACCAGAAGATCCTTCACGGTCTTCTGTCACCCATAATCCTTTGCGCACGTCTTACCCTGTAAAGTATAAATGAAACGTTGGCAGATGAAACCAGAAAGGCCGGTAAAGTAACATATACAGTATGCTATATTAAAATTTTTCTTTTGAAATTTTTCCAACCCTGTTTACAGATGTCTTTTGCCAAGATCATCTCTTCAGTCACTGTTCCTGTTAAAACAGTATTCAGATGAACAGTCTTTGTGGGTGTAGCTCTTGTCCAATTAGCCTGACTGCATGTCTTTGAACGGTGGAAAACCAGATCACCCAGAAGAAACCTGCACAGACATGGGGAGAACATGCAAACTCCACACAGAACGGACCCTGGTCGCCTGGCCGGGAATCGAACCCAGGTCCTTCTTGCTGTGAGGCGACAGCGATACCCACTGCATCCCCTGTATGATGTTAATCGCTTAACTGCATCATGCAGTGCGCCTGTGTGGAAGCATCTGCCTGCTAGTGCCACTCAACACATTATCCTCAGGTTCTACTCACTGGTGATTTAAAGTGATGAAAATCACGAGTGTGTCCCCCAGACTCACCGCCTCTCTTTCTTCAATGTGCTTTATCATCAAATGCAGCTGTTTCACACTCACCTCATGGATACACGCATGTTCAGTAGGAAAGACATTAAGGCTGTCAGCTGCAATTAAGGTGCACATCAGAAACCGAGAAACTCCTGACAGGAACAACAGAGGAACGTTAGTCTTTAACAACAGTGGTTGTACTTCCCAAAATGCAGCCCAGAGGCAGTATTACAGAAACATCTGAACTCTGAAATCTTATCTGTTTAGTCACTGTGACCTTCAGTTAGGACTGAATTTAGAACAATAGCTGTTACAGAGTAGCATTTGCTAAGTTCATTATCATATTCTAACTCCATATGAATAGTATTCTAACATGACACCATTTCCTAAATACTGTCTTAACGTGTTTTTAGCTTTGTTTTTAGTTATTCTATTGAGAATATGTTGTCGTTTTTAGACAACTGTGAAAGGCAGCCCAAAATTTTATTAACGTTAGCATTAACTAGCATAACGCCCCATTTAGTCATACTGGAAAACTATGGTTTCACTTATGAGAGTTACAAAAAAATGCTGGACACTGCAGGCACATTCTCCCCTCAGTCCCTCTCATTACCTGCATGTTAATGTTGATGAAGGCCTGCCAAATAAAACTCTGCAGTGATGGCAGGACTAATTAGGAGACAGTGTTGAATGTGTGGCTGGTAATTAGGAGAAATAACATTAGCATGTGGGGGATGCTAGCAAAAGACTTGGGAAATGGTAGCTGGGAGTGACGATGCCCAGTTAAAGAAACAGTTTGGCAAAAATTCAAATTAACATGATTTATCAGCTGCAGTCGATCAGCTGAGACATGTTTTTCAGGCTCATATTCATCCCCAGTTTGTGTTTTCATGCTGCTTCCTGTGTGTACAGGAAAGCACAAACAGGTCCACTCTAGCTTTGTTTCTATCACAAACGAACAGTGAGATCAGGGATTTTGAGTGCTTTTGTGGCCGACTGCTTTGTGGCTGAGCTGTTGTTACTTGTAGACATTTCCGTTTCACAATATTAAGACTTATAGTTGACCAGGGCGGATCTAGCAGAGCAGAAATACCACAAACTGACTTGTGGTAAATGTGACATCCAATGTCAGTGGCACATTTAAAGTCATAAAGCTTTATGGTATGACCCATTCTATTGCCAGTCTTTGTCTATGGACACTGCATGGCTATATGCTTGTTTTTATATATCTGTGAGGAAGGAGTGTGTCTAAAACACCTTAATTCCACAATTAAGAGAGGTGTCCACATACTTTGGACCAGTTTAGTGTACGTTCATGACATTAGTGAGTGTGAACGACTTCACTCAGTCAATGAGCTGATCAGCTTACCAACCAATTAACACCCGGTGGCAGTAATGCTAGCGTGCTGCTGCCCAAAGGTTTGCTGCAGATAAATGCAAACATTCAGGAAAGTTTTAATTATTTTCCATGAACTAAATTCTCTACTGTGTAAAATTACAGAAAAGTCCTGCACACAACAACAAGTTAACAACAAGTTTAATTTCTCGTTTTTAGCTGTTAAGCTCCATAGGACCCCATGTCCTAAGGCGTTTTGCAGTCATGTTTTTGATATAATGGGAGAAACAGGAAGTGGCCAGGCTCCCCTTAAACTGGCTCTGCAAACAATTTATGAGGTTTTTGTCAGATTTTATCTGTGATTTTAAATGTTTTTTGAAACAAGTTTGGCCTCCAGTTTTGAGTTTTTGGGTCTCTCCTCAATCAACAAAATCAATTCAAGAAGTCAGAAGGGCTGGAAGTAACTGCCCAGTGGCATTGCCAAGATGGCTGCCAAGTGAACAGACTTTCCTATCTACCTTATTCCTGCATTCCATGGTGCTTTGAGTAACTTAGAGACATAACTTCTGACAAAGCATGAACAGACAATATGTTGAACGCTTACAGCAGCCTAACATCATAGAAATGTTTAAACAGCTTAACGATAACAGAGTTAATGATGAGGGTTTCCTCCCACGTTCCAAAGACATGCAGTCAGGTTAATTGGAGATACCTGTCCAGTGTATTTCCTGCCTTCTGCCCAATGACTGCTAGGATAGGCTCCAGCACCCCCGTGACCCAGGAGCATAAGCGGCATAGATAATGTGTGTGTGTGAGTTGATGATAAGCAACAGAGTCAAATGTTCTTCATTATACTTATGTATTTTGCATTATTTTACATTTATTATGGATTCTGGGTTTTACTGTGAAGGGTACAGTTGAGGGACCATTTCAGGTTAAGGAAACTGAATCATTTTCTTGGCAGATGAAGCTGTCAGCAACAGAGAGGCAATGACAATACAGGGCACGGCAAGCTGCTGACACTGTAAGGAGGGCAGAAAATTTGCAAAAAGACAGAAATAGGTGGCACAAAAGGAGAAATGCAGGGCAGACAAGCAGAGTGGCCAATCTAGGTGAAAGGGAGCAAAGGTACAAGCGTAGGTGCTGGAGAGAGGAACAGCCTTTCTGACACCACTGAAGAGCAACATGTGCAGACAACAGATGAAATCAACTGGGAAAGCAAAGATATTACTGGACAGTGGTGTGTCATCAAATATGATGAGATTTGTCCTAAGACCATCGTTGAGGTCAGTGAGACACCTGCAAAAGTCACCGTGAGGATACTTTGTGGTATCTCTTTGAAGATGTCATCAGAGCCATCCCACAACCAACCACAGTGATAGGTCATCCTATAGAAATAAACAAAAACAAATCAGTGACTGATTCGCAAGCCTATCCGCATGCAGGCGTGAGGTAGCTGGTATGGTGAAGCATGGGGGGCACGCCCCTTGAAGGGGCTGCATAATGATCATAGATGTGTAGGCTCTCTAGCCCTTGACTAATAGGTTGGACCCTGGTTGGTGTGCTTGCCTACAGTCTGGAAAATATCATTTTAATTCCCAGCTGCCTGCTACAATATGATGCTCATCAGAAAAAAAAGTTTTGAAAGCCATTTTATCTTTGAGATCCGTAATGCATGAAATGCATGCAGTTATTATTCAATATCATTAAAGTGTTGTTATTCAGATGTATTTCTTAGGATTAAATAATTCTTTAACATGTTTTATAAGTTTTGAGTCTGGCAGAACATATTGTTTTTGGTCTTTTAACTATGGGTGGTCAACTCTGTTACCATCAACGTCAACTCTGTTATCATTAATGTCAACTCTGCGTGTTCAAGGTTAGAATACATTCAATCATCTTAGCTTAGCATCTCCAGTTGTAAACTAAAGAAGCAAACTTCGGATACCAAACACATCTAGGCTTATTGACTGCATCTAGAGGTAAGTGACAAATCATTTTAATTTTTCCCCGAACTATTTCTTTAAACAGCTAGGTGGCAGCCGGCGACTTGCTTGGATGGACAAACAGGACAAAACGTATTGGGTTTGATGAATTTTTGTTTACCACAGCACACGACAGTGTCAACTTCTGAAAAACAGCATTTGTTTTTTCATTTTTGTGACTGAGAAAACTAGCTTAGGCCTGGAGATCCTAATACGGAAGACAACCCCTGAGTGAGCCATGACTTCAGGGGTCTGTACATAATTTTGCTCATCAGAAGGCACACCAAAAAAAAAGAAAAACCCAGAACAGACCAAAACAAAGGCTGGTGTCATGAGTGCCACACAAGGCAAGCTTTATTACTGGAAAGACAAAAGGAAGAGGAAGTCATGTCAAAAATAACTTTATGAAAAAAAGTACATAAGTACATGTAAAACACAAAACAAAAATATCAGTCTTCAGTGTTGTAGTCAAATAAATAGGACTGAATTATTATACATCAATCACAACATCTTGGTCAACCCACAACAAGAACAAATAGTCACCTTATGGCATTCTTTTGGATGTCTTACAAAGATTATAAAAGAAGATATGTACAACTTGGATCATTACCAGAAGACATGCTTAGAAGTATAACTGTGCCCACTAGTACACAACGGCAGCGTCATGGTGGAATGTCAGGAAACTATACTGTCTCATGTAAAAGCCTTGGTGTGTGTGTATCGTAACCAAAGCTCCGACAAACAGACCATTAAAACATGAGATACCGATCGATTCTTTTGAATCTCCAGGCAGGAAATAGATTATATTGGTATGTCTGCAGCTACAGTGACTGGCTATTGGTGTGAAGTCCCTCCTTTTTCATGGTCTCCAGCCCCAAAGAGGCATTCATTCCCTCACTTTCTTTACTTGAACTGTTGCTAGGCAATGCTGAAGAACTCGGTGCGTGACCAAAGAATCGGAGCTTGCAAATCACCACCTGAAGCCGTAGATAACAGTGGCTGAACCAAATGAGATAAATATCGATTTCAGGTAAACACAAGTAAAGAGAACAACAAAAACAATAAAAACAAACAGCACAATGGTTGAATCCGAAAAATGGAAAAATAGCTTTCTTTAAACAGGACCAGCCTGTTCGTTTTTTTTTTTTTAATCCCAGAAGTCCTTTTACCCCCCCCCTTTTCCATTTTCAGCAGGATGCACCCCCAAGCCATTGTCATGAGTCGATTGTTCCATACGTTTCAACAGCCTTGTCTGAATTCAGAGACCCATGAATGATCCTGCATGCCTTTGGCTTTTCTCATCTCCCTGCTAAAGTCCTCAATGCCTTCATCTCCCAATGGTGCTGACATGGAGCCCATATGCCTATGCGTCTGGTGACTGTGTTGCACTTAAACGCTTGTACTCCTAAAGTCCCACATTAGATTTGTGACACAAAGACGTCACGGTTTACTCCACAACGACCCTGGCTACAAGGAGGGCTTAACAGCATTACAGTTAAACTGAATTACAGGTTTTTTTTTGTTTTGTTTTTTTTTTACAGCAGTAATGGAGGCACGGCCACACACGTCCACAAAGCTGTCACATGAAGTTAATCACAAAGCAGTTTTTTTTATTGCCACTCTATATATTTTGCGTCACAAGCATGTCAATTGTTATTGCTTTGTGGTCAAAAGCAGGTTTTGATATCAGCACTTTGCACTCAAAAAACCAAGAAGCTTAAGAATTTAGTCAGAAGGAACCACTTTTAGATACACACTGAACTGCCTGCAAAGGAGTCTGTCGCAAAAAAGGGTCGTATCACTTGCGCAGGAGCTCAGGGACATGAAGGCGAGAAAACCTGTACACAGGAGAGAGAGATCTACTGGTGGAAGATGGAATGCTACATCAGGAATCTGAAGAAAATGCATATAAAACCGTTCGGAGTGATGTGTGGTGATGGTCTGGTTCAAATTACAAGCTGAGATTTAAAGAAAGCTGATTGAAAAGGCTAACTTTGCTGCATACATTTAGTTTTTGTGAATCCTTGTTGATTTGACAAACATCAACATGGTGCTACAACAGCTTTCTGAAGACCAAGAGCATAAAAGTCCAATTCAGTTTTACGTTAGAATTCCCACAGTCTCTGGCCTTAGCTCACAGATGCATGGTTCTCTACACTACAGAAGAGCAGGAGGCCAGTGGTCCGTCACTTACGGCCCTCCTCTCTCCCTCTGACAGTTATTGCCTCTTTAAAAATAGAAGCACGTACGTCACGTTGGTGTTCAATCATCAGAGGGCGGATGAAATTGGAAACTCGTCTTTGGTAGTTTTACAATTCACTGTCTGAAAATGTCTTGTCTGTTTGTTTTGCCCCTCCCTCTTTTGTTTTTTTTTTTTATTAATTACAATGTTCGCCTCTCTTAAGCCTGATATAACAGGCAGGTTCCAATAGAAATTACATTACAGTATCCAGTCTGCACAGCAGCCAATTCCTTTAGCATTTTAATGTCTGTTAACAATGCTAAAAGCCCCCTTCCTCCAACATCTCTACATGGCCTGGGCCTTACACAGCTTTCCAATGCTCTGCCTACAAGAGCCACCCTCTCACCTACTCTTCAGTGCATATTCTACATTTTAAGTTAGTTTTTCAGATATGTCCGACACTAGAGAGCCAATAATACACCGAACGGTTCAAATGGAAGTTATACCACGTTACTGACGGCCATTTTCTGAACACTTGTTCCTTATCTACTAAGCTGACTCATTGTGAACCTTAAACGTCACAATAACATTGAAGCAAAAGAATAATTCTCTTGATACGGTGATGAATGATGCAATGAACGGCTGAATGATCAAATCTTGGTTTGAGAAAAGCAAGATACGGTACTGGGTAAGACGGATATGCACTGCTGTAGAAATCAGGACAAGCTGGACAGCGAGGTGTCCACTTGTTCTGAAACATATTTCTTTTGGGGGGTGAGGAAGGATTCCACAGTGAAGCCTTCATTGATGAGGACATCAGAACCCACCCCCCTTCCCCAGACCAAAGCGCAGGGGAAGGAGAAGCTTTTTTTTTGGTGGGGAGTTGAAGCCCCTCCTCTCCGCTCACATGATGGAGCAGCTCTTGGCCTTCTCCTTCTTGAAGGTGGAGGAGAGCAGCTCGGACCGGCTGGGCAGGTGCAGCAGGCGCTTGGAGAGGCGACGACTGGGGCTGGGCTTGGCAAGCGGCTGGAGCTTGTTGATGCAGGCCATCGCGGCCGTGCGGAACACGCTGTGGATGCTCTTCTCCGAGGTGAAAGCCGAGCATTCCAGGTAGGTTTCGGCCCCCAGCTGCTTGGCCATGGCCAATCCCTGGGACAGGAGAGGAGAGGAGAAACTCAGCTTAAAGTTCTTCGTTCCAAAACCATCCAATTCCTCCAAATTATTCTGACCACCTATTTATTATTAAATAACATTTTGCTATAACCTGTACTGACACTGTTTATTCAAAAAACGCCAAAACTTCAGCAGCAAAATATTAGGGCTGGACCTGAATATTCAATTATTTGGACATTCGTTGTGTAAGTAATCCGTTTTTAATAGTGGGATTCGGTTATTGGTGGGGTTTTTTTAATTAAATGTAGACTATCAATAACGGTAAACTGCAAAATACTGTAACGTTCTGGTTTCTTGGGAGAAACGACTCGAGGTTACAGTCCATTACGCAGCTTTATTTACAGCGTCAAACATGGCAAGAGGAAACACGGCCTCTCCAGCTCTAACAGTTAAAAACACAGCCCTCTGTACTCCATATTCAGGCTCTTCAACATAAAAGTCCTTGTACAAAGGAACCTGAAACAGCCCAACATAAACATTTCTTCTCTTCAAAAAAACTGTTCTTTCAATGACGCCACAACACATTTTGTCAGTACATTCTCGTATTATAGTTATACTTTTTAATTGTACTGTTCAATTGTGGAAATATATACCATCTCAACTTCCCTCTCACCCAAACAGTGCCCCGCTATACTGGACCCTTAATAAGACCATGATGTATGCCCTTCGGACCTCAAGTTAGACCTCCTCCTTGAAGCACTGGTTAACCTGTGCATGCACTATTACCCTCTAGCCTATTGCTAAAAGAGGATAGCGGGCCTCGTAGATGGAGCAAAGCTGCACTGCAAGTGCCGCACTGCTCTGCAGGAAAGGCAGCTAGCCTAGAGATCAGGATTTTAAAAAGGATGAAGGCGCGTTTAACCCAGGCATTGGACGCAGATTTTCCGAACGACTGCACCACCCCGCAGGGCGAGGCTTTGAATATTTGCTTTTGATTACTGCCGGAGCTCCAGAGCCCAACAGATATTCAGGATAGCCCTACAAAATAGATACCTGGCATCTTTTCTTTACCGCAAGTTAATTCATTCTTGGGATCAATTTCTGAGCTGCTGAGCTAAGTGTTTTTACTGGGTGAACTGCAGCTGAAATGCGGATATGTGTGTGATATGACTGGTGTGGTAGAACCGAGACGTTCCCATAGATTGTTGTTGAGGGAGGAGGGTGGGAGTGTCCATTATTATAACATTGCATGTTGGGGATTGTAGTGCAGCACATTGTTAAATCGGCTAATGTTAATAGAAAATTAAAATAATTTCACAGGCCTAATCTGACCCACAGGCCTTGTGTTTGACAAATATAGTTTCATTTACAAAGTACTTTAAAGTAGCTACAGCATAACGAGTCTCAAAGCTGCACTATGTGAGTTTGGGGGATTTTGAGACTGTGGTGGTAGAAACGTGTAATTGCATGCAACACACAGGAGACCCTTTTGTTGTATTTTGGACTGCTTCCCAGAGCAGATACGTCTGATAATTCCATGCATGTTGAAAGAGTATTCAAGGAAAAGAGTCAACACTTGGTGAAGGACATGTCTTCTGAAGATGCAAGTGAATTATCTACTGTTGTCTTCATATCTTCCTCAGTGTAATGTTGATTTTGCCTTTGAGACCTAAACATCAAGTCAGACATTCCTTTTGAACCTGTGCGTGATGTTAAAATGTAAAGACGTATGAAGTGATCTGAAAAATGTCTGCGAAATCTGACCTGACTTTTAAATTATTATTTCAGAATTTCTGTGTTTTTTCACTCCTGACTCAGTAATGCTACTTTCAATTTTAGCAAGATTATTTTACATAGAGCAGCTTTTATTATCCAGATTAACAACTGGAGAATCAGCCTACAGTTCCAGGGTTTAGTAAGTTTAAAATTATTTCTGAAATATTTTTTGAAATAAGCATCAGGTAGACATGAAAAGCACACCTGCTCGTGGGTAATCGGTGTTTGTTTCTGATTGGATAGTTCCATCAGCGTACAGACATCTGTGCGCAGGTCTGTTTTGCAGCCGATGAGGAGAATGCGGGTGTTAGGGCAGAAGTCCATGATCTCAGTCCTCCACTGCACAGAGACAAGAAAAAAAGATATAACATGTAGAACAACAGAGAACAGTTGCATAAGGCCTTCTGCCAAGTACTATGGAGTAAAAAAAATACTATTACTAAGATCAGTGAAGGGCTCTTAGATCCTTGTCAATGTCAACATCTTTTAAACATACCAATTTGTTAAGTGACCCTTCAAGGATTTGTTGTGAGATTCCAGATTGTGGAAGAACGCCTGACTATGAACTGAAGACAACACCACAAAGGCTACAGGTTAAGGTGTAAAAATAGATCAATATGATTGATATGCATTAAGGTGTAAAAATACATTGATATGACTGATCTGCATTGATTTTGGTATAATGGATTACAAAAAATTTTAGCAGACAGTATTCACTCACTGTTTGACCATAACAAAATTTTTACATTCTTTTGAAACATACCAAATCAATAAAAGATGCGTTTTACTTTTCTGTCACTACTCTGTCAATAGTACCTCCAGGCACATTTGTCTCTTATTTTATGTGATATCATAAAACTGGCTTCTCTCTGTTCGTCTGACTGACTTACTCACTCACATTTAGCAGGCTAAATTCTCCACAAGGGGGAGCTATTAGCACTCAAACAGCTTAAGGGCAGTGCTTCACATCAATGACACTGTGTCCTCATTAAAAATTACAGTGAATCATGCCAAAATAAATCGACTTGAGCTGTGGCACACTGAATTGTGTCCTAAAGAATCATTAAACTAAATCATTAAATTCGTTTGAGATTTACCCTTTACTAAGGGAGCATTAAGGAGAAAGCGCAAAGAGTTTTACAGTGATAGCTCAGCACCTTCTTTAGTCCACTCTCCACAGTGTCTGGACGGCTGATATCGAAGCACAGCAGCACTGCGTCAGAGTCGCTGTAGCAAAGTGGCCGTACATTGTCATAGTAGGGAGACCCTGAAATGAGACAAAAGGTTTAAATGAATCAGTGAAGAAAGAGGAAAGATCAAATCTGTGAGCCATGCAATATGGTGGTCTGGAGGAGTCCCAAGACAGAGGAGGTGGAGATTATGGCTGCACAATTAATCATATTTTAACTGTTCACTGTGGTTTTTGGCTTTTTCAATTAATTAGGTAAAATGGACTGCAATATTGGTGAACTTACAGTAGCTACGGTTGGGCAATATGACATTATGTATTGTTATCTTGATAAATTAATAATACACTTGTACAGGCACATCATGGATGCTGTTAGTACTTAAAGAACACTGACCAACAGCATGTTTCACTACAAACAGAGCATAATCAGGCCTTCATTAATCATTAATAGCTGTTTTGAGATTTGCCGTTACTAGTGGTTTATGAACTTATCAAACCTCAGAAAAACTAAATATGATTCATATTGTGTACCATAAAAATATCCTGAATTATCGTGATGTTATATTTTTGCAATATCAGTCTTATTCTGGTAGATGCTAACTGCATTTCATTATACTAAGCAATGATAATAAATTTGAATCTATATATCTTATAATGTAGTGTATAATGTGAAAGAAAAGGCTGTTTCTGTTGATTTAAATCAAGTCCAATAAAATGCTTTCCTTAATTGGCTGAACAACAGTGATAAATAATCATAATTTCAATATTGCGCAAAACAATAATGATTATCGTGTTGGTCATTATCATGCAGTCCTAGTAGAGATGATCACTCCTGCTGAGCTTCACCTCACACGCAGCTCAGCACATCCTGCTAAGAAAGCACACTCTTCCACTTTCCAGTTTGCACTATTGGCATTTTAAAGGAGAAGAAAATGACAATTGAGCCCTAAATCCTCATCGATCTATCGCTCTCTTTTCTCCCCGGGTTTTTTCTATGGCTTATGCAACGGGAACAGCGGGGCTGGGGGCAGAAAGGCGCTCCCACTCTCGCTCAGAATCCTTAAGTAAGCCACCCACCGCCCTGCGTCTGCCCCACGCACGCAATACCTCTAGTCCCCCTGTTTCCACAGCAACAGCCTCGGAATCTACCATCTGCGGAGCGTCTTCCGCCCACCCCTCCATAAAGGCTTCCCTTAACTGCCAATCATTAGACACAGATACGTGCCCACCCACTTGGTGAAGAAATGCCTGGGTTGAACAGTATATGTGCACCAAAACCTTCCTTGCCTCTCTCTGTCTAAGTCCTTTGTTAAGCGAGAGTTCAGCTTTAGTCTGATAAGAACTGGGTGTGAAAAAAGATCACAGAGATTCATGGGAAATGACTTTGACTTTGGTAAAATGATAAAGCTGCAAGGATGTTCTTTGAGTTTGTATATATGGTCATGTACAGCGAGTGGCTAGTATGTTGATTAGAACAGTTACTAGATCTACATACTATTTCAGATTCTAGAATCAGTCATGTGAATTCACATCATTCACTAATTGTATAACTGATTTAGCTGCATTGAGGTATAAAGTGTCAGTCCTTTATATAGCAGTACTGAGAATCTGAATAGACCTGGCATGAAATTTTAGCTGCTAATTAGACGGCATATAAATAACTGATAAATAACTGAATTGTCTTATTTTGTGTATTATGTTTAACTAGCAAAGTAGAAGCCTAATGTGGCAAAACTAGCTACTAGCTGTCTTACTTCCTAGCTGGCGATGCTTAGCAGCTTCCAACCTGCGACAGGCACAGTTCAAGCTCAAACAAATAAACATTATTCACTGCTGCTCTCTAAAGGTGTTACAGCACCAGTAAGACATTTTTGCTGTTTTGTAATGCATTAATGCATTTTCTGCTTTCTTTTTACATGTATTTGCCTTAACCCAAAGATAAAAAGGCACATACTATTTGTTGCTGTCTAAAGAAAAAGCTGTATCTCCAAAGCAGTAACTTCACAGGAGATGGCAAAAACATTCTTAACTTTCAATACAAGTTGTATTGAATACATGTAAAGAGGTGTTTTGGAAACATGTATGATATTATGCACATACCCTAAATCCAAAAATGGAAATGCTAATTTTAGCAGTGTTTAAGCAGAATCCCCTAACATATTTCTTCTTGACTAACTATAAATTCATACAAAAAAAAGGCGACATGGTGCACAGTCAGTCAGCAGGCAGGATTAGACGTCATCAGAGACGTTATAAAGGAGGAGACAGGTCAGTGGTAGGAAAATGAATGGGAAAGCTCGTAATGACATGGTGTCCGTTTTTGAAGAAAGTCGCCTTTCAATAAAATGAGCCAGTTGGCTTGCTGGTAAAGCTGGGCGCAGGAAAATGTGAAGTAGCAAAAACAGGCCGAAAAAGTGTGTTTTGGTGTTTTATTTAAAACCAGTAGTAGCCAGACTTTTCTATAAGTAAATAAAAACTTTCATTTCACTCATCTTTTGTGTTTTTACTGTTTATGGCTGGCGAGTAGGCCAGCTTGCAAACTGCACCACAATGGAGTTTTTTTTTCTCCTCGCTACTCTTCTAGTTCAGCCTTTGTCATGGCCATTTCAGAAGGAGATGCAAGTTTCTCAGGTGACTGTGGCTTAAGACTGCTATAAGTACAATTGCTGCATCTGTGCAATGTCATTAATGCAGGAAAAGAGAGAATGTGGCTAATAATTACAAGACCACAGTAACAAAAAGTGATTAACATCACAAAATTTACATAGTGTTGGACAAAAATAGCATACAAAAGCACTGCGCAGCTTGAAGCTAAACTGGCTTTAGCAAATTTGCACAAACATCCCTACGTCAGTCAAATCAATGGTCTCAGATACTGTTGGCATTCTAGCTGCTAATCAGACCTGCCAGAGAGAGTGCTGTTCCTTGCAAGACCACTGACTGCCTCTCCCTGTCTCTCTGATAAAGTCATGGACATGCAGACCTGGGTGTGAGGATGCATTCAATTGCCCCAGGCGTAAATGCAGCAATCGATGGACATGCACACCAAAGTAACCACAGAGCCATTTTCAATTAAAGCTGACAAATTACAACATCCTAGGAGTCAGAGACAGACAGAGGACACTGCTGACCAGCTCGCACGCCGCGTGTAATTATCCAAACCCTCCAAACCCACAGATAATGCTCTATAGGCTCTTCAAGAACTGTAGGAATGTGAAAGCAGCAAGGGGAGAGAGCATTACGCTCAGCTGTGGCAGTAAGTGCTCCCCAAGCGTTAATCCTCCACCTCCCGCAGTCTAGGATCATAGGGCAGCAATATCTAACACAGTGTTCTGCAAGAATTTTCATGCCCGTAACATCTGGCCAATGACTCAAGAATAATCTTAAAAAATTATAATTTTTTACAACTGTTGTACAGGGTGTCCCAAAAAAACAGACTACATAATTTCGTAGTCTAATAACATAGCCAATTCTCCCTCAAATGATCTCAAATTTTAACAAAATGTGTAAAAACTAACCAAGTTTAATTTTTAATGTTTTTTTTTCAGGTTGAAGAATGGCGTTCACTAGAAATGAAAAGGCATTTTGTGTGTTAGAATATGCTCGAACACAGTCAAAGAAGAGTGTGCAGCGTGCATTTTCGAGAAATTTCAATAAAAATGCATCAACTGGAAAGCAGATTTGGACATGGCACAAAAAATTCAAAGAGGAAGGCTGTCTGTGCAGGGCAAAGGGATCTGGACGACCACCAGTATCGCAAGATATTACATTTGTGAAGCTTTGTGAAATCAGTTATAAAATCTACATCCCCCTGAATATCTTGTTCAAATTTTGACAAATAAACCTTGTATTGTTCAACATGAAGCCTATTTAATTTCATTTGCCAGGACATGTAGGTACTCAGATATTCACATCTCATTTTTTGGGACACACTGTACTTTCATGAAATTATCAAATATGCATGTAATGTAACAATTAATTTTGGTAATGAAATGTGCCATGGCAAGATAACACATCCCTTTAAGTACAGTCTGCGCAGTTGAAGCTTTAATAAAACTTGAAAACAATTGCCAAGTTAGCCTAGTTTGTCAGCATTAACCAATAATTGATTGCTAACCCTGCCAGGAAACATCACAGACCTGGTTTATGCTGGTCTAGCGCTGGTTTAGCTGATCACCCAGCAAACTCATGCTGGTTCATCAGTCTACCTGCATCCAGAACAACAGATGCTGGTTTTGCTGTTAAACAGACATGCTGGCCTATGCTTTTTTTGCTGGAGTAGCCAGGCAGTAAAAGCAACATGTCATATGACAAAAATTTGCCAAAACAAGCTAACATGTCCCTTTTATTTATGCTGTGTTCTTGAAGTTGACATATTAGCATAGCTAGAAAAAAGTTGCTAAGTTAGCTTGGTTAGTTAGCTCAAATGATAAATAGCTAAGTAAAAATGACATCATTAGGCCAAGAAATTTGCCAAGGAAAGCTAACAGGTGCCTTTAATGTACTGTGTTCTTGAGACTGAAGCTTTAGCATAGCTAGAAAACAGTTGCCAAGTTAACCTAGTTTGTATTAACCAATAGTTGATAGCTAAGTCAAAGCAACATATCATTAGACCAAAAATTTGCCATGACAAGTTAACAAACCCACTTTATGTGCTGTGTTCTTGAGGCTGAAGTGTTAGCATAGCTAGAAAACAATTGCTCAAGTTAACCAGTTAGCTTGAATAATTGATAGCTAAGTAAAAATTACATTATTAGGCCAAGAAATTTGCCATGGAAAGCTAACAGGTGCCTTTTATGTACTTTGTTCTTGAAACTAAAGTTTTAGCGTACCTAGAAAAGAGTTGCCAAGTTAACCTAGTTTGTATTAACCAATCATTGATAGCAAAGTCAAAGCAACATATCATTTGCCATGATTTACCAAACATGTCCCTTTATGTACTGTGTTCTTGAGGCTGAAGCATTAGCATAGATAGCTAAAACAGTTGCTAGGTTAACCTAGTCAGTTAGCTCTGGTGAACAGTTGATGGCTATGTAAAAGTAACATCATTAAGCCAAGAAATTTGCCATGGTAAGCTG